GACTTACCTTGGTCACAATGTTTCCCAGTGTATTCCGGCTTACATTTGCACTCATAGTTACCCACTGTGTTTATACACGTCCCTCCGTTCTTACAAGGTGTAGAGTCACACTCGTTTACATCTCAAAGAGTAAAAAACACCAGAGTTAAAATCAAGTAAGAACACACAGGGTTAAAACAACCTCTAAACACTGGTTTACTAGCTTAAGATAACATGGCGACTGTGACTGAATCTAGCATATATTACCAATTGGGCCAACCCGCCTTTCGCCGATAGAACTAGCGTCAAAACTGCTTACAAACAAACTGTACCCCGTACTGTAAAGCTTCCGAAGGGCTTAGATAGAAATTCCGTTACATTCATGGTAAACTTAAGATTTCTTACAGTCGTAGATAATTTTAAAAAAATGGCACTTGAGAGTGAAGTACATTTTCATATGAGTATTTGATATCATTATAACTGGTGTGCTTATCTTGGTCACAGTGTTTCCCAGTGTATTGTGGCTTACATTTGCACTCATAGTTACCCACTGTGTTTATACACGTCCCTCCGTTCTTACAAGGTGTAGAGTTACATTCGTTTACATCTCAAAATATAAAATAAACCAGAGTTAAAATCAACTCGCGCGATTTAAAATCAGGCAACAAAAACAGAACAAAACATAACATAGCACAACAGCCCATGGAAGGAATTAAACTAAGTTTAAAAGGGTAATGAGTATTGAGAAGGTTACCTTGGTTGCAGTGTTTCCCAGTGTATCCCGGCTTACATTTGCACTCATAGTTACCCACTGTGTTTATACACGTCCCTCCGTTCTTACAAGGTGTAGAGTTACACTCGTTTACATCTCAAAATATAAAATAATCCAGAGTTAAAATCAATTTTGAGCGCGATTTAAAATTAGGCAACAAAAACAGAACAAAACATAACATAGTACAACGGCCCGTAAAACGAATTAAACTAAGTTTAAAGGCGTAATGAGTATTGAGAAGATTACCTTGGTTGCAGTGTTTTCCAGTGTATCCTGGCTTACATTTGCACTGATAGTTACCCACTGTGTTTATACACGTCCCTCCGTTCTTACAAGGTTTGGACTCACACTCGTTTACATCTCGAAAATATTAACAATTGAACACATGAATTCAAAATTAGGCAACAACGCAAACTAAAATGCTGTTAAATTCAGGGTAAACTGCAAGATTTCTAAGAGGCATCAATTATTAGAAATGGCTCTTGAAAGTAAAGTACATTTTCATAACACTATTTGATATCATTATGCTTGGTTGACTTACCTTGGTCACAGTGTTTTCCAGTGTATTCCGGCTTACATTTGCACTCATAGTTACCCACTGTGTTTATACACGTCCCTCCGTTCTTACAAGGTTTGGACTCACACTCGTTTACATCTTAAAATATATGACACATCGGAGTTAAAATCAAGTTTGAACGCGATTTAAAGATCCCAGCTTCGACTTCAGACCTATTAACTGTCACCAGAGTACAGTCGCGCCGCAAACGTTGCAAAGTTCCGTGAAAAAGTTCTTAAAAAGTTCAGGATAAACTAAAGAACAATTCAAAATGCGACAGACTTGAAATAACACTATCTGTACCAGAATACACATTGAAATTACAATCGGTTGACATAGAGTGACTGGTCAAATTACCTTGGTCGCAGTGTTTCCCAGTGTATCGTGGCTTACACTTGCACTCATAGCTACCCACTGTGTTTATACACGTCCCTCCGTTCTTACAAGGTGTAGAGTCACACTCGTTTACGTCTCAAATAATAAAACACACGAGAGTTAAAACCAGAAAAGAATTAACATGAATTAAGCTAGCATCCAATGGATAATGATGAAAAAGTAGCTTCTTCTAAAACACATACCCAATTCAAAACTAGAGTGCAAAACCCATACCCTATTTGAGACCAAAATGGCCAAAATCGATACTCTATTTCTGAGCAAAACTGCTAAGAATCCATACCCTTTGAGGCCGCACATACCTATGCCCATATATGGGAATACCCCTTCCCCCCGGGGGTGTGAATCATGACAAAATGCTTTCCATGATATACAGAGTTGTACCCCGAGAGCTTCCTTCATTCACTTGAAAACTGTGCGACATTACGCACCCAGTATTTTAAAAGAGGACGACGGTACCTTGATCGCAGTGTTTTCCCTTGTATCCCTTTTGACATGCGCATGTGAAACCTCCAACAGTGTCGTTACATGTTCCGCCATTTTTACACGGAGAGCTCGCGCATTTATCTTCCCCTTGATTCGAGTCTAGATAGAATTGAACAAACCGATTGTAAATTCGACATGCGTGATGCACAGAAATTACTGACTAAACTGTGCTGAACAATTAGTTCCTGAGCTCGAGATTTCTATCGCGTGATGGTTGACCAGGGCGCAGCCCAAGTCAACTAACAGCCACAGAAATCGAGAGCGAATAATCTAATTGTTTTTGTATAAATCTACTGGTCATTCATAATTTCATCTATCTTGCTAAATCCTCTTCGCAGACACTTCGAAAACGCAGAGAATTAAGCGGCCGCCCATTCCGCTAGACTACTCGTTTACAACTGAATAGATACATAGTGAGTAGCGTAGCCAATCAGAGAACGGCATTCGTGATAAAATGCTAGTAGATTTATACCAATGTGCTAATATATTTATGTCCTGCAAAGAATTTATTTCAGTTATTAACTGAAAAGGAATCATTCATGTGATTCTTAACCCACCGAGGCTATAAACGTAGTTTACATTGCTTTTTCCCGCACATTCCTGGGGGTCGTTTATATCACAGGGTGGAGGGGGGTTTTGAAGAATCATTACGCATTCTCTTGAAGGGTCATCGTTGCTATAATTTTTTTCTGCACCAGCTCCACTCCAACATTCTCCATAGTTCTGCAGTCCAAACACTTTAAAGCCTCTTTTCCGTGCTGCCTCGGCGCAGCGGCAGGCCAGGCTACATTTGATGAAAGAAAATAAGAACAGGAGTCATGCTGTCAGTAGAGAAAAACTATTGATTCATTTTTCACCCTCTTTTATATCAGAAAGTTAAGACTTATCAAAACTCTACTGTCGAAAGTAACCCCCCTAGCATGGAAAACAAATTACGCTGTCGCCGACACGGACAAGAGAGAGCTCATCAAAAGAATTTTTTTTTCCAAAGGTGTGGATTGACCCCAAGCCAATTAATTCAAGAGCAGTAACATAAAGTGGTCAAACATTAAAGCAGTTTAAACCTCAAACCTGTGAATAGATTCTTCCCATTCTTTCCAGTTCAACTTATGTCCGTCACTCTTGGGGCTCTTCAAGTCCCTGTCAGTTATCAAAAGTTCGTCTAAAGGCTTGGACTTCGCCCCAAAACACCCAAGCTTCTTATAAGTCCTGACACATGTGGTGTGAGGCAATGGCGTTACTGAAAAATGAATGTTCTTAGCTATATTTAGATTGTATGATTCGATAAAGAAGTCACAAAGTTTTGTAGTTACTTACGATTTAGTCGCGTGTACACCATATTGAAAAGGCACTTGAAAGTTTTTTTAAAGCTCGTATGTTGTTTCAGTTTTCTTAACAGAAAACATGCTCAAGAAAAAATACTCAAATTATAGACTTCGGATTAAACAGCACGTTTCACTTGGTTTGGTAGATTAGTTGTCGTTGACTACAGCGAGAAGTTTATCATGTGAAAGCGGTCAATTTCAATTGAGTGTCGTAAAACCAAAACCAAAACCCGCAAAGTAATTGCCTGATCATATGCTTTCGCCACTCAGTTGAAAACTGCTCTATGGCTTAAGGTTACTTCAAACCTTCGCGGGGCTATATTGGTCGATTTTTTTTTGGTCAAGAAAATTAATGTCAGTTTGCATACCGTGAACGCTAGGGGCTCTGTTATTTCATTGGCTCGCGGCTTTCAAGTTGACACATTCCTCTGTGAAGGCGTGATATGTTTATAAATCTTTAGAAGGCGAAAACTCGCACTCGTT